AGCAATTCAGAACTGCTGAATTATCAAAACCACTTGAGCAGGACCTTCAGAGCATGCCCCACTTTGGGGACCTGGGATGGTTGGGAGGTTGGGTGGGGCTTTTCCCTTTATCTCCCCTTTTATCCCAGATACAGAAAAAAAAAAAAAAAAGCAAGAATGTGGAAACAACAGTCTTACCCACTTTCCTGTAGTCCTTGACTCTTTGTGCCCTAATAGCTATGTAAAAATTGTCAAAATAAAAGCAATTTCAAGAAAAAGAAAAGAAAAAGGCATTAACTACAACCTTAAATCACCCAAAGAATGAACTAACTGCAGTGTTAATTCTAATTCATGAACAAATAATACTGTAGCTGTTGAAGATATTTGGTACAGCATTTGAGACACTGCTTGCATGTGCATACATCCTATATCAGAGTGTAAGGATCAAGACTTGGCTGAAGTTCCAATCCAGCACCTTGGGTAGGGCACCGATCATAGTTCAAGTATTTAAGTCCCTGCCACCTATTTGGTAGGCCTGGTTGGAGTTCCTGGGCTGTAACTAAATATGGCCTGTCCCAGTCCCGGCCATTCATACTTGAGGAATGAAGCAGTAGATTGAAAACTTACCTCTCTTTGTCTCTCAAATAAGATGAAAATAATAATTAAAAATTTAAATTTTTTTAGAAGATTCATTTGTTTATTTGAAAGCATAGTTACACAGAGAGAGGAAAAGACAGAGAAGTCTTCACCTGGTGGTTCTTTCCGCAACCAGCCTTAGTAGCTGGAACTTGGCCAGGGCAAAGCCAGAAATCTCTCACATGGGTGGCAGGGGCTCAGGTACTTGGGCTATCTTCTGCTGTTTTCCCAGATGTCGTAGTAGGAAATTGGATCAGAAGTGGTGCAGCTGGGACTTGAACCAGTGCCCATAAGGGATGCTGCATCACAGGTGGCAGCGTAACCTTCTATACAACAATACCAGCATAGAAGTTTTTAAAATTATAGTTAATCTGGGTGATAATTCCTTATCTGTATACTTGTGAAATAAGATACCAGTACAATAGTGGGGCATACATGGAACAGACTGGCATTGCAAAAGAGACATTGAGAGAAACCCACAGTCCATGAGCTCTAAGCAGGAATGAACAATAATGTGACAAATTCCATTCTATTTAAAGACAGCAAATAATCCTCACTAGCTTGACAACAGCTTCACACCCTGTGGGTGTCAGTGGGAGGCTCTCTCACTGGTCTGGGCTGCTACTGCCCATGCTTCAGAAATAGGAAGAAGCAACAGCTACTGCAGCTCAGAACAGTGGCACCAAGCAGGAGATGATTCCGTGCCTAGTCCTGTGCTCCTGTCCTGTGGTTGCATGGAGAGCCTTGCTGACCTCCGAGCCACCTTCTGGATCTCTCTTCCTGTTTTGGAAGATGATGGAATATTGATCACAGAAGTCTACTCCTTTCTTGCTTAGAGACTACCCGAACTATAGTAGTTTGAGTTTGTTTTGACCTGTTTCGATCCATTTCAATCTAGGTTTGCAACAGTTATTTTTCGTATAAATTTTCCAAAAGCTTTTTGACCTGCTGTGGAATCCATATGGCTTCAGGCCATCAGACAAGAAGTTCTGCCTGCTGGGATGTATCAGCCACATGAATCACCTCAATAGCTAATGGTTTTTCCAGCTTCTCCCTTGGACCTGTTTCTGAAATGGTCTATCCGCATAAGCAATCTGCCAAACCACTGAGTGCTGGCTTCCTTTCCCTTAGTCGTGCTGACTTTAATTTCTCTCTGTCTTCTTACATGTGGCACAAGCAGCAGGGAGGAATAAGGCTGATTTTTAAATCCTGGGCATATTTTGCTATAAATTCAAACTAAATGTCCATGTTCACCACTTACAGTTTCTACTCCCACAAAATGCTCACATTATTCAGGCGAATTATTTGCCACTGTAAGAAGCACATGGCCTTTTCCTCCAGCTCCTGATAACGTATCTCTAAGTGTTGTTTTAGATCTCACAAGAATTAGATCTCAGCATAAGAATCGTTAACACAGTTCAAGCATCATACGGTTCATTGTAACGTGTTTTGGGGCAGGTGTCAGCATCCAATATGGACACTGGTTCATGTCCTAGCTGATCCAATTCCCATTCATTTCTTTACTTATGGCTGGGAAAGCATCAGAGGGATGACCCAAGTCCTTGGCCCTTGCACTGATGTGGGAGATCTGGAACAAGCAACCAGCCTCTAATCAGCTTAGCTCTGGCCATTACAGCCATTTGAGGAATGAACCAGCAGATGAAAGATCTCTCTCTCTCTTTCTCGTCTTTTCTCTCTGTAAAAATCTACCTTTTGGGCCTGGCCCAGTAGCCTAATGGCTAAAGTCCTCACCTTGCACACACAGGATCCCATATGGGTGCTGGTTCTAATCCCAGAGGGCCCACTACTCATCCAGCTCCCTGCTTATGGCCTGGGAAAGCAATTGAGGATGGCCCAAAGTCTTGGGACCCTGTACCTGTATGGAAGACCCAGAAGAAGCTCTTGGCTCCTGGCTTCAGATTGGCTCAGCTCTAGCTGTTTAGCTTGCTTGGGGAGTGAATCAATGGATGGAAGATCTTCCTCTCTGTCTCTCCTTCTCTATGTATATCTGACTTTCCAATAAAAATTAAAAATAAAATCTTTTTAAAGATCTGCCTTTCAGATAAAAGTAAATATATCCACAAGAACGCAGGTAGTACTGTGTCTTTAGCAAGCACCCCACAGTTTCCCAAATAGCTCTTCAGCTTATTAATGATGTTGCATCTCCCTGCACTACCTAAGTTACCATTTGAATCAGAGTTCCTGGCCTGAGACTGCAGTCCCCTAGGTCCTCTACCTGCATAACTCGGGTAACAAGAGGGAGCCTCGAATGGCCATCCATCCCCATCTCCGCTTCTCCTGCCTGTCCTATTCCTTTCTCACTTGCTCCTTGCTGAGTCATCCTGCTGTTCCTCACAGAAGGCATGGTCACTGTTGTCTAGGGGCCTTTGCAATACCCCTTCCATCTGTCAGGAAATGTCTTCCCCAGATCCCCAGCTTGCTGTCACACCCCCTTCTAAGAGTTGCCTCTATTCATTGTTTCTGATTTTTCTCTTCTAGTTCTCTCACGGATCCACTTCCTCCACTCCACTGAAATTACTTTCACCAGGATCACGAAACGACTTGAAAATTGTTCAACCCAGTGATCCCTCATCTTATTTTAACTATCACCAACACCGGGCACGTGTGGTGCGTTTTTGTTGGTTTGCTTTCTTCCCTTGGCCTCCCAGGATATCCCTGTTCCCTGCAGTCTCACCAGCTTCTTCTTGTTTCCTTCACTAACTCTGCTTCTTACAGACCTATAAAAATAGGAGTGTCCCAGGACTCAGCCTGTTCTAGTCATTTTAGCTGTGCTTTTTTCATTATCTCTTCCAGTCCAACATCTCTACCAAAGAGTCCCATGTTGGCAACTTCCAAATTTACATCTGCAGGCTAGATCTGTATCCTATACTTTAACCTGACATATACAACAGACTCCTCAGCACATCTACTTAAGTGTTTAAAATATTCACTCTGCTTGAATTCACAATCTTTTCTCTAAAACCTACTTCTATAGAGACTCTATCAGTCCATATGCTCATATCCAAATGCTTGAAATAACCTTCAACTCCTTCCTGTCCCTCCCATTGCACATGCAGTCTATTAGGAAGTCATCTTGACTATATCTCAAAATACATTCCAAGTCCAACTGCTTTTCACCAACTCCTAATACACATAGAATCTAATTCATTATCGTCTTCATCAAGATGACCACTACAAACTGTGCCTCTCTGCTTCCACTCTTGTTCCCCTCTTGTACATTCTCAACACAAATCTTGAAGGGATCATTAAAAATCTAAACCAAATCTTGGCACTTCTTTTTCAAAAGCCTGCAAAGTCATCCTATTCTGCTTAATCAGCTGAAGTCTTCAGAAAAACCTGACATTTCTGGTTCTCTATTTTCTCTCTGACTTCCCATCTGCTCTCCTCTTTCTACCCAGCTATGGCCTTTTGGCTGTCCCTCAGACATACCCAGGCTTAATCTTGCCACTGTGCGTACATAATTCTTTTCCCTGGAAGGAATGTTGTTTTCCAAGATGACCACTTGTTTAAATTCCTACCTTCTTCAAACCTCACCTTATTGGTAAAGCCTACCTGAACTATGCTACTTAATACTGCAACCTGCCCAGTATGTTTATTCTACCCTTCCTACCCTGTTCTGCAGCAGTCTGTTAACCTATGGATAATCCCTATAACTGAAATTGTTACATGACACAACATGTATATCTTCATCCTGACTACACATTGCCAAATAACTTTTCATAGTAATTGCAGCGATTTATACTCATATGAAAAGTGTGTAAAAGTCACACACACACAATTTTTGCCAATATTCTGTGCTTTCAAACTTCTGTTGCCCATCTAATGGGTAAAATAAGCATATCCCTAGTGTTTGAATTTGCATTTCCCATATTGTTTCATGAGGGTGAGCAACCTTTTATAAGCTTCCTAGTCATAGATATTTCCTCTTTTGTGAAGTATTTTTTATATCCTTTACCCAATTTGCTTTTAGTTGCTTGGAAATTCAAAAGAAGTACTACTTCTTCTGAGTGCTTTACATATTCCATATGCCAATCATTGATCAGTAATGACTTCTGCGAAAAGTATACCTAAATCTGGTGCTAGCCATTTTTTTTATTAATGCTTTTATTGATTTTACAACAAATGCTTCTAAAATAGACATGTTTAAAGAGAAAAATGGCTTTTAGTATGCAAACAACTTGACTGATGAAAATCATATAATAAATATCCTAAATTATAATATATATTATAAAAATATATACAGATAAGTAGGTTACAATAAATATAACATATATTAAATATAAATTATATTTAAATGTAACATATATACCTATATAATAACTATCCTTTACATATTATAAAATGCATTTTAAAAATATAAATAGGGCCCGGCGCGGTGGCGCAAGTGGTTAAAGGTCCTCGCCTTGCACGCCCGGGATCCCATATGGGCGCCGGTTCTAATCCCGGCAGCCCCGCTTCCCTTCTAGCTCCCTGCCTGTGGCCTGGGAAAGCAGTCGAGGACGGCCCAAAGCCTTGGGACCCTGCACCCGTGTGGGAAACCCGGAAGAGGCTCCTGGCTTCGGATCAGCATAGTATTGGCCCGTTGCGCTCACTTAGGGAGTGAATCATCGGACGGAAGATCTTCCTCTCTGTCTCTCCTCTGTGTATATCCGCCTTTCCAATGAAAAAATAATAAAAATAAATCTTTAAAAAAATATATAAATATAATAAAGTATCCTATTAGGCATGATTTTTAAAGCATATTTGTTTGCATTTATTTGAAAGAGAGAGACAAAGACACAGATTTTTCCACCTACTCATTGACTCCTCAAATGCCCACAGCAGCCATGGATGCACCAGTAAAAGCCAGGAGCTAGAAGTTCAATCTAGTTCTCCAGCAAAGCTGATGGGGACCCAACCATGTGAGCCATTACCAGCTGCTCTCCAGTGTGTGCATTAGCGCTAAGCTGGGTTAAAACTAATTTTTTTATTGGTATGAAAATTCAGTTTGAGTACCTGGGTCTTTTATATATCTAGACTTTATTTTATATAAGGCATGTACAAAGATTTTTTCCCATAAGATAAACCTAATTTTGCAATCAAATTTATGAATTATCCATCATTTCCCAACTCCTTTACAATGCCATGTCTTTCATATACCATTTTTGTCATACGTGTTCCAGTGTTGTAACTGATTTGTCAGACTCTATCGAAAACACCCTGTTAATATTTTGATTGAAATAGTATTGGATTTTTAAATTAATTTGAAAATTGCCAGTGTTAACATGGTTTTGCAGCATGCTAATCCTCCTCCCTGTGGCACTGACATCCCATATGGGCGCAGGTTCGTGTCCCAGCTGCTCCACTTCCACTTTCCATTCCAGCTCTCTGCTTCTGTCTTGGGAGAGCAGTGGAGGATAACTCAAGGCTTGGGCCTCTGCACTCATATTAGGAGGTCAGGAAGAGGCTCTTGTCTCCCAATTTCAGATCAACTCAACTCTGGCCATTGTGGTCATTTGGCAGAGTCAGACACCAGATGGAAGACCTTCTCTCTATGTGTCTCTCTGTCTGTTAAATCTGCTTTTTAAGTAAAAAGAAATAGATCCTTGGGGGAAAAAAAGAAACTGCCAAATTACAAACACTAAGCCTTCCCATATAGGAATAGAGTACTGTTGGGAAAAATACTCACCATGAGCCCTGAGAATCCCCACATGCATATTGAGTATGCAAACATGTAGGAAAATTTTACCTTGCCAATATATTCAGGTCATGCTTTCAGGGAGCAACTCTGAGGGATGAAGAAACTTGACCACACAAAGAGCAGATTTGCTTTTATATTCTATAAAGCAGTGAATTCTCCAAATGTACTCTTCCTTTTTTGTAATGTGACTCACTGTGATGAGCCATCCAGAGTCGATCGTTTGAGATTTGTTGGGGGATGGCATTGGAAACCAACACAAACCAATATGAAGATTTGGCTATTGCTTTGTCTGCAATTAATATAGTACTTTGTCTCTCATTCAAGCTTGTTGTCTTCTGAAAATCCTTGAAATGGTGGCAGTCTAATGTGTTACTTTGAAAGTAGAGTAAAATACCAAACCCTGTATTATCCTTAAATCTATTTCTCTCCTTTCAGATATGTTTAAAATTTTTTTAGTATTGTTTGGACAGATTCTGTGTGGGATATGTGGGTCAACCCCTGTGAACTGCAGTTTCTGCTGGTTTACGTGAGAGCTGAGCAGTGGCGACAGACTGCTAAGTATGATCCTGGAACTCTCAACACTCATGGGTGCTGGGGTTGGGAATAGGCTGGGCAGTTCCAGGCTTCAGCACAAGCAGGCACATCCAAAAATAGGGTGTAAGGCTGGGCCACAATATCTACTAGCTCATACAAAGGCCAGGACAAAGGGGATAGACTATGCCAGGTAAGGGCTTAGTACCCACTGGCACATGTGAGATCTGGGTCTGGGAGTGGGTCTGGTGGGGGAACTTAGGAAACTCCCCTGGTGGGCCACAGTTCCCACTGGTGAGCGCGTGGTCCAGGCCTGGGTGTTGGGCAGGCTGGGTAAGGTAGTTCCACTCGCCAACAAGTATGCAGATTGGTTCTGGAGAGGGACAGGCTAAGCAGGGACAGATTAACCTGAACTCTCTGACATGTGCAGGAGCCAGGCTGAAGAGGAGTTTGCATGAGCCAGAGATGGGAGCAGTCTGGGCAGGACTAGGCTGCAGCACTCCCAAACAAGATTTGGGACTGGAGGCAACACCGGACAGATCAGACTGCTGCATCTGATGGCAAAGGCCAGATGGGGCTGAGCTGGGGCAGATCAACAGCTGGCACATGCAAGATCTGTGCCTGGGAACAGGCCTAATTGGGGAGCCAATGGGATGGACGCACTGGCTGGGTTATGGTTCCTACTGGTAAGCATGAGAGCCAGAATGGGTGTGGCAATCTGGGCTGGACATGGCTGCAGTACCTCTCAGCATGGGTGTGGATTTGGTCTGGGGTGCACCAGACCAGACTAGACTCCAGCACCCACTGGTGCTTGTGAGAGTTCAATGGGCTTAGGACCGGTTAAGCTGGATTTTGGCACCCACTGAACCATGTGTGAGCTGTGTCTAGGTGTGGCCCAGGTATGGCTGGACTGTAACACCGAACAGTAAGAACCGAAATGGGTATGGGCCGATGGAAAAGGCCACTGTTCCTGTCAGGACAACAGGTAGACTAAGTCATTCTGGGCCAAGGACTCACTGGTATGTGCGAGATCTGCCATTAGGAGGCCTGATAGAGAAGCTTGGGAACTCCTTTGTCAGGATGCAGTCCCTGCAAGTGACTACAAGAACCAAGGCAAAGAGAAGCCCAGACCAAACCAGGTTACAGTACCTGCCAACATAGGTGTGGGTCTGGTCTAGGAGCAGGCCAGGCTGGGCCAGTTCATAACACCAATTGGCAGATGTGAGAACCAGAATGGGGTGCAGGATAGGCCAAGTTGGGCCACAACATCACTCAGTCCACATTAGGCCCAGGGCTGGGCCTTGGCTGAGTATCACCCACCAGCATGAGCTGAAACTGGGTATAGGGAGGGCCAGGCCAGGCTACAGCACCCACTGGTTAATGCTGAGGAGAGGCAGGCCATGCTAGACTGGGCTGTAGCATACACCAGCACATGTGAGACCGGTGAGTGGGAAGGAGTGGTGAGAGCCAGGTATGGAGGCTGTTGGGGGCTCTCCTGCTGGACCATTGTTCCCACTGGCAAGTGTGAGTACTGGAACCAGGGGCAGACCGGGATGGTTTACATGAGAGCAAATCACCTAAAACACCCATTGGCCTGCATGTGACCTGGGTTAAAGGGAGAGCAAGGATGGGCTAACTGACTGCACTCACTGGGAGAGGCATGAGCCAGAGTAAATGTAGGCTGGCAAGTACTGCAACTGCGGGCAAATCCTGTTAAGCTAGACTGCAGAACCACTGATAAATGCAAGAGCCGGAGCTGTGAGTTGACCTGTTAGGGAAACTGTGGGCACCTCGCTGACAGGCTGCAACTCTCACTAGTGAGCATGAGAATCAGGGCTGGCCAGACAGGCAATGGCACCCCTCAATCCCACCATGAGTGTGGGCTGCATATTGGGGTCAGTTGGGTTGAGCTAGGCTTCAATACCCATTGGTGTATATGAGAGCTAAGTGGGATGCGTGAAGGACAGACTGTGCCAGTATGCCACACATACTGGCAAACATAGGAACCAGAGCTAGGAGTGGGCCTGGTGGGGGTTATTGGGAGTCACTCCAACTAGGCTGAAAATCAGTCTGGTGATTATGAGGGCTGAATGTGTGGTGGGCAGAGCTGGGCTGGGCTACAGCATCCATTCGTTTACTCAAGAGACAGGATGGGAGATAGAACTAACCAGCAATTACAATTACCTGTGTGTGTGTGTAGGCTGCCATGGGTGATGGACTGAGCCAGACCCCATATTGGCAATCACACACAGGAGTCAGGTCTGGGATTGTCTCAGATGAGGTTTCTGTGGGATCCTCCCAAATGAACCTCTGGACTCAGAATTTCAACCATGGGTAGAAATGTAGTGTCTGTGGTCTGACCGTGTAGTATATGTGTCAGAGCTGGGCCTCCTCAGTGGCTTAGACAGAGCAGTAGATGGCATAGCCAGATGCACGTGGAGTATTTTGTAGTCCATTGTGCCATGCAGAGGACATCTAGTACCAGAGCAGAGGAAGGAAGGCAGAACAAATTGAACAACTACCCTAGCCAAGCACTTACAGCAAATATCTGGGTAAACTGAGACTTCGGGGTGGACTGTGTCAGCACACGAACCTTGAAAGTATTACTTCATTCTTGGATTGGTGAGATTAATAATATTTCAGTTGTATTGAAAGCACTTGAGCAGAACCCACAGAACAGATCCTGCATCAGGGACTCTGCAAAGGCTCTGGGTGGCCATTCCCCATCCCAGTGTACTGGGGCAGCGGGAAGGCTGAGTGTGGCTTCTCCCCTAATTTCCCTCAGATTCAGCAGGAAGAGGGGAAGATTTGGAAACAACGATCTCATCCACACTCCCCTAGTCCTCAACCCTTCCTACTCTGGTCAACTATGTAAACATCATCAAAAATTAAGAAAAAAAATTATATATAAAAAACGAAAGTATCAACTGATACTGTTGGAAGTAGGAAGACTAAGGATAGGTTGGTAGATGGAATAGTTTTGTAATTATATTAAATTTGACAATGCCTATATCTCAATTAAAATGCCAAGTAAGCTGCTGAATACAGATATCTTGAGCTTTCTTTAGTATTCCATCTCACAGCTCCTCTGAATTATCACCATACTTTAAGGTTTGCTGTTCATTTTTAAAAATCATTATTTTTCATGATATTGTTCCATAGGCACAGAGATTCCCCATTCCCCTTCTCCA